TTCCCCAATCTATACACACAACCAGGGTTGCCCTGTCCCAGGTGCAGAATCCAGCACTTTCCCTTGTTATCTTATTTGATGTAACTTGATGTAACATCAATAATTTGATGTTAAGCATCAACTTGATGTTGAACCCCAACCCTCTAAGCCTTTCCTCTCAGGCTGTTCCATCCCTCTGACCATTTTTTTGACCCTTCTCCAGACCTGCTCCAGCAGGTCCATGTCTTTCCTGTGCTGAGGACCCCAGAGCTGTACAATCCAGCTGTGATCTCAACAGTGTGGAGTACAGGGATAGAATCATCTCCCTTGACCTGATGACCATGCTGCTTTTGATGTGGCCCAGGATCCATTTGGCTTCCTGAACTGGTTATATAACTTCCTTGGATAGTTATCTGCTTTAATGGATCTTCCTTCTGAAATTCTTATCATACACCAAATTGTAATTATTTTAGTTCCCTGAAAAGCACTGAGTAGTGAAGAAGAGGAAAACATAGGCATTAAAATCTTCCAGGAAAATTTATTTTGAAAATTGGAAGAAAACTCTAGTGAGAAAAAAATATATAGATTCAGTGTGGTGTATCTTCATTCTAGTTTCATAGTTCAGAATATATGTACTGAACCAGGCAATAGAGAATCACAACAAGTTAAATATTGCTCTTCTGCAATCTACTTATAACTAATACTTGAGGTTTTGTTGGTTTTTGCAAATTTTTGCAATTAGCAGTAAAAGTGCATGAAAAAATATTATGCAATAAAAATAAAGACAAACCTGACTTTATCAGTACGCTTATGTCAGTTACATTCCTGAAACTTAAAATGGCACACCTTGCCCATATCTATCTAAAGTATTTCTAAGGTATCTATCATTTTCATATCTGAATGCCAAAGTCAATGTAAAATGTTTACTATGGGTGGGGACAAGGGCTGGCTAAATTCAGATGAAAGTACTCTGTGTAACTGAGCACATACTTGTATTTTTACAGTCACTGATTTTATTAAATGCTTAGGTTTAGGGGTACATGTTTTTTAAAAAAAAAGTCTAAAGAGCACAAACATAAAAACTCCCAAACATCGGAAAGTGCTAAATGGACCCCAGAAGAGCTGGAGAGGGGACAGATGTCAAAGGGGAACACTCATGATGGACCCATGAATAACAAATCCATTTTATATAATTTTTTTAAAAGTCTTCTATCACTATGTGCTGTATCTGAACACACACACACAAATAAATCATAAAGGCAGCAAATATACTGTCCAAGGTTATATACAATGCAGAAAAAAACAACTATTTGATCATTTTGTGTTCACTAAGAAATATTAAGGCAAGAAACAAAGATCAAAAAAATCAAGCACATGTATGCCATGACTTCATCCTTCCTATTAAATAGATACAATTTAGTCATGTTCCACTAATCCTGCTCCAAATATTTATGCTTCTTGCTTTTCTTCCCTTTCGTACAGAAAGGAATTTTTCATGGATAATATAGGAAAACTGACTTCCCACATGACTTGACTAAAAGTGTATGATTTAAAGTCTCTAAACATCCTTCCACAGACCTCCAGACAGTGTATGTTTGAGAGATCATGCACACTAGCTGTCAACACAGCTGGGAACTGACAGTCTCTTTCCCCGAATCCGAAGGCCCCCTCTTCTCACAAATTTCACACGAGTGATCCCATTCTGGAGATCTCTCCTGCAAAAATGCACTGGGGTAATAGGCAGCTTAGAAAAGGCTTATGAAGTGCAACCCAAGATAATTCCAGAAACTGAATTTGTCAAGCACATATCAGAGAACTTAACTGATCTTTTCCATTTCCAGCTGTAATATGTGTTACTGTGTCATTATATTGGTGAGATTATAAAGCATTATGAATACCTTTACAGTAATACAATATAATGCAGATTTCTGTGGAAATGGAATTGGTTTTGGGCAGAGTTTATTTGCATTTCTGGCCACAAAACTTTCAAACACTTTCTTTTCAGTAACTATGATTGTGTCCTATAGACTGTAGACCGATAGTTTTTACAGACTGAGAGGAATCCAGGCTAAAAGATCAAAATAATTAGTTTTAATTTCGCAGTTTTAGGCAGTACTAGCTGTAACACTCTCTGATATAAGCTGTAAGATATTCAAAAATTCTCCAGTAAAAATGAAGACCTTATGTACCTCTGCCCCTTAACCCCTTCTATTTCAACTCTAAATGAGGTATTTTCTCCTCTCTAAAATCCAAGAAGTAATAGCTTATCTTTCAAGTGCTTGAGTCAATTCAGGGTTACAGCTGGGGAAGGACAAAGAAGAAAAGGAAGTAGAGAAGGACTCATAAAATGACTAAAAATGATAACCCAATTGTTCATGTGAAAGCATAATGGTCACATGATATAGAAAATGCATTTTGGTGTCAAAAATTCTGCAACCCAGGCCATTACAGAAGGAGAGCTATGGATATTGCAGTAAAAAAGGGGCAGAACCAAGTTGCCAGAACAGTTCATTAATCTCCCCCTTACTTCTTTACTGTATCTGAATGCTGTTTCAGAACCCTGAAATCAGGGAGTTAGGTACAATTTAAATGAGTTTTTTTGGTACACTGGATCTGTGGTAACTGTGTTTGGCATTATGTAACACACAGCAGTATCTTTAGTATTATACGTTTATTTCCTTTGCAAAATGACACTAGTTTTATAAATTTATTATTTTCTCATGTTTTTCTCATGATTAGAAGCTTATGTATATATAGGCAGCAAAGTCAGAATGGCTTAACAACTTCTTGGTGGCTTGAATAAGGTCATGTTATTAAAATTTTTTATGCCTGTGTGAACAACGGACTAAACAAGAAAGACGCATACATGAATTCAACAATTGTTCTTAAATTACAAAACAGATTGCATTAGAAATACAAGAAAAATAGACAGTGAAGATCATAACTATGGTGGACCAAACAAAACCCGGAATGGATCCTCCGTAGTACATTTTGGAGTAAGGTTACAACTACTCTGTTTTCAAATGCACCATTTTCCTATAGGCTGCCTAAAATGGATTATATGCATATGGAATTAAAACCACTATACTGCCTATGTAGCCAAAGCATATAGAAAACCCATGTCTATCACATAGCATCTCAGTTTTCTAAACAGATAACCAAGCTAGGACATATCAATAGCTACAGACTTGATGGGATTTAGCAACAAATTAATTTTGTAAGCCCTTCATATGCCTGTAAATCTGATCATGTGTATTACTGCTTTACCTTCCAGAAATACTTTTCTTTACAGGTTCTCAGGTAATTCATTGCAACTCACTGCTTGACTGTCTACTTCTCTACTTGCCAGAAAAAAAAAATCACTGCTATGATAAGCCCATTTTATAAATCATTGGAAAATAACTATGAAGTGTTCAGCAGTATTTTGCAGGTCTAGTATTTCACATATTTGGGAAAACCCCAAGTGTTTCCTAACTCCAAATCATGGCGAAAAAGTCACTCTACCCAAACTCAAAACTTTGCAAAGCTCACCTGAGGAAGTGCATTTAAACAAAATTCCACATTTTAACACTATGCAAGCCTTAGTCATGTTGCCCAAATATATTTGTTCACTTCATATCTGTCACTTTTAATACTCTCTCTTTCTCTGTCACATTCAACTGCCTACATATGATAACTTCCCTCTGTAAACTTCCATAAGTTCTTATTTATTTTTGTCTTACATTGTAAAACATGTCGGCCTGAATGACTTTTTTATCCTGCACATTCTTATGTATAGAATGTTTTATGAACTATTTAACACAAACCAGCAGTTAAAGATACTTAATGTTGTTAGGATTTATGCATAATCATTAAAGAAACATGGAATATCCTAATTCCATTCATTTTTCTATTTTACACATGCAATATCTAACCAGGTACATTGGTTTCAAAACAAATATTTTTAAAAGTATAAAGACATATGTGTTTTTTCTTATCTTTCTCAATAGTAGAAATGTTTGATGAAGGAAGTACTTTATCTATACAAAGTAAAGATTTAGGCACACGTATACAATGTGCAATACACATACCAATCACATAGCAATAGTGTGGATATAAGACAAATGAAGACAAACTTGAACAGCATATTCATTTGCTGCTTAGAATGCATGGTTTATTTTCTTTGAGCATATTTCATTGCCCTTCTTTCTTTAAATTACATTTTTATTTGAAAAATAATGGGAGGAAAAAATCTCAAAAGTCCAGAAACATCAATATCTCATGACCACCAAAGGAAGCAGGAATGTATTATTGAGTTACAATAATCTCATATGCAACGTTTTTAAAAAGAATAAAGGAAGTAGTGAAATAATACTGCTGTTTTACAGAAGCTCAATGCAAAAAACTGAATGTTTTTTATGGATTTGATCACAAACACATGTCTAAGAAATGATCGAGTTACCAAAATATTAGTACTAGTGAATTATTTAACAAAGGGTTCCCTTACCATCTTTCCTCTGTTTAATTTAGCAACTACTTTAATAAAAATCACTGTTTCACATACAATATCTATACCCATCATTCTTCTTTATCACATCCTTCTTGATTTGAACACTGTTAAAAGATATATAAACTGATTTATTCTGCTTAGGGGCAGAGGGTTAGAAATTGTCAATAAATAAATAAAATACATTTAAAAGATACATTAATGACAAAAATTGCCAACTCACTCTGACCTGAACAGCACAGAATGAGATAAATACTCTTTATTTTGGGGGAAGGAGGCAGAAAGCAATTATTACCTAAGAAATGAGAGAAATTTGGTAGCTTTTTTACAAGGAAGTACATGTTTTCTTACTTTATATAAAGTACTATTTTAAACTTCAGGTCTGCAATTGAGTCATGAATTAGAACTATCTCTTTCAACCAGAAGGATTAACGCAGAGATCGAACCAAGAAACAGAAGCGCTGACATCAAGGAGATAAATGTTCCACAAAAAAAAGTTAATCTGAAATTTCATGATAACCCCCTCAATGCTTACCAGGTATGTGCCACAGTGAAACGCCGCTGTTTTGGTATGTTGCTATTTAAAAACATCCTGCGCAAAAGCCTTGGAGAGTTTCGAGGAGAAATAACTGGACACAGCCGGGGAGAAGCAGGTAAAGATTTTTGAGTTGTCCTGGACTTTTCATGTTGCAACAGGTTTTCCCTCAGGGTCTTCACAAGATCTTCATTTAACCATGGATTTTGACAATATGTATTATCTACTTCAGGAACAGGCAGATTGTCCGGACTTGTCTGCTGAGCCATGTTTCCTAAGTAAAGTCTAATACAATCAAATGTTGGTTTAACTTCTTAAAATGTTTCCTTTCTAAATCAGTTCCCAAGAACTGTTCAGAGATCCTGCTCCAGTTCAGCCTATTCTGTTCTCAACATGGTGTTGCCTGCCCTCAATGTCTCTCTTATAGATAATGATCTACAAAGGAAAAAGAAAGCTAACTCCTCCACAGAAACCGATTAAACATTACCACTCCTCTCACAGCCCTGCTGCCAAAGATCACTTATTAGGTATCATAGCAAGTGAGCACGGGAGGAGGAAATTGCTTTAGCACAGCCTTTATCAGAGCTGTAAAGCTGCCTGTTAAACTATCGTAACTAATGTGCTGCAGCTGCTTGAGTGACTTCTGGTTATGTACATTAAAAGTGCTGGAGGAGGGCTTAAACATCAGATGTGTGCTCCTTTTGTTTGGTTATTCTTTCCATTGCTTATTCCTGAGCCTTCAGAGAGGTGGAGAGGAATGGGGACTGCTGCATAACCTTTTCTGTTTTTTCAAGGATCTACAGTATTTATCTTTGTAGTCCCCATGAAAAATTCAGAATTCCAAACTTTTTCCTCTTAAGCTAACTAGGAAATGCTACAATTAAATAGTGTAAAAGGGTTTAGTTTTTTCTTCTCCTCCACACTCCTAAATCAGTTTATTGCAACCAGTTTTTAAATGCTTTAAAGAAAGTCTAATACATGCTACCTTATATTTTCCAGGAAAACAAACCAAACATTTAAGATATGCACATAAACTGAAATGAGACTATGCAGCTACTAGTATCTGTTTAAAGAGATGTTCTTATTTTAGTATTTCATCATATTATGACCACTACTTGAACTAAGGAAATACCTCTTTTCTATTCACAGCTGGTGGGGAGATAAACTATCAAAAGATAAAAGGCAAAACTACTTGCATTTATTTGGTCAATGCATGCGGCTACTTAATTTCACTTTTAAAATAAATTTATTTTCATGGCATTGTGCAATTGACACCTTTGTCAATCCAACCTGAGCTTTACATTTTTTTCATTTTTAATTAACTCACTTCATCTACGCTGAAAGACAAAAAGTTTATAAGCATGTTCAACTGTTTTGATAACTCACTCGTAGTGGACAAAGAACTGTAATGACTGATGGTAGGCTAATATTTGCTTAAAGTTTTTGCTTACAGCAATAACAACAACAGCAACAATCTTTTCAGTTATAACCATACTTCCTATTCATCCTACAGGAACAAAGAATCAACATTTTGGGAAAGATTTCTTTTTAGTATCAGAACATTGGTTTCATATAATTTCCATTGTTGCAATATATTTTTCCTCTTTACTTCGTCTTAGAATCCAGTTTTCCTTTGTGAACAACAATTTCCTTTTGAAGCACACACAGTATCCTGGCTTTCAATAGGGTGAAGGGTGTTTGACTGCAATTGTATGACCAGGTGTGAAAGGCAAATAGCATTTTCTGTCTTGCAGCAAAATCAGAAATACTGCAAAAGCAACCTTCTGTCACAATGGAGAGGAATCAACTTTGTACTTAGCACTGAAGCCACAATTCCTGATGAGGATTATAAAGGGAACATCGTGATGCTGACAGGAGTAGAATAGAACAGCAACAGAAAGGTCAACTTACATTAAGAATGACATTGCTATCAGGTGTCAGCCCCATTATGTAGACAAGTTTTAACTGTACTGCATTATATGCGAAGTATGATAATAAAGTTCTTACAAATTTAGCTCAACACTGAACAGCACCACAGAATGCAGAAATCACTGTGCATTATGTTTTTGTGTATTTTTCTAAAATTTTATATTAAAAATTTTATCACGATGTAAAAATTAACAATGACCAAATATAGAATAAAGCCCAGATATTATTAAAACTACAAAACTAAAAATTTAAGCTATGTTTTATTGAAAGTAAAATTTAAACTGGAAATGAAGTGTTAATTCACAGAGATAAAAATAATTTGATTAAGCCATAACTAATACATAACTAACACAACAACTGCTTCCATGCCTTTTCTGATTGGAAGAGTGGTACACACAGCACTGGGCTTCAACCCAGATAAAATAAAAGTATACTATATAAAACTGTATTTGTCTATTATTCTTTTTTTATTTATTAAAAAACAGTAGCAATTCCATAATAATCATTTTTTTTCAAATAATACAGTCTGTATAACTAGAGCTATGTTCTTTTATGCTATGAAATACTGCCATCTGATGTCCATTCCAAAGCATGGCCTTCAAATAGCTGCAGTGACTTTATAAAACTAGTCAAACTGACCTGTTGGAGATCAACAAATACTGACATCAGTAAGACCATTAACATTTATTATAGTGGCCCTGGGATCATGTTTGAAGTTGCACTATGCTTCAAAGGTTATTATGGAAGATGAAAGCATTAGTCCACAGATCTGCAGTTTTATTGCTCTTGTTCTTAAACATATCAGAATTACGTCAACAAGGGCCATTAGCTTGACACCTTGCGTTACAAATATTGAGTGGGTCTGCTACACTTTCAAAGAGGTAATATGTAATGTATATAGAGAATGAGGATAAACCTTTTAACAGGAAAAGTGAACCCAGTCATTATAAAGTAGCACCATTGGCATGAATAGCTAACTGAAATGCTTTTCTTTACTGGGTTAATGGGTTAAATTTCACAATGTAGATGGTCCATGTCCCCAGACACATTATCTTGGCATATGCCTGCCCCTCTTCCCCTCCCCCTCAAAAGAAAAAAAAATATGCTATGAATACTCTCAAGCATGCTCATAAAGTTAAATGAAAGCCTGTGGACTGATTTTATTATATACTAGAAACATGAACAGTCTTCACTGTAATAAAGAGATCTAACTTCCAGCGATATCAAATAATCACTATGTGAGTTAGAGAAAATGCTTATCTTAAGAGTCAAGAATCAGGAGAAGACAAAGCAGAGAAATGGCAGTAGCATGAGGCAGTCTACCCAGGGGCTAGAATTTACTGCTTCTTTTGAAATAAGGATATTTGAAATCTGATACATACCTAATTTCCAAAAATTAATACTGATAGTACTTTAAGCATGTACACGTTCTATGTCCTATTTTAAGGTATTAACAATTAGATCTAATTTTGCAGGTTTTGCATAGTCACAGCTCATAGCTAAAAGTTCTATCAAGATCAGATTTACTTCTACTTGCTATATACTTAACTAAATCATTGTAAAGCTCACTAGAATATTCTAATAAGAGAGATTCAGTATTTTAAAAAAAAACTAAAAGTGTCAATAGCTTTTATTGTCCTCCAGTGACAGCTTAAAGATACTAAAAAATGAAGTTCAAGTGTTCAATTTTTGTACTTTTCATAAACTTTCTTATGAAATATGTACCTTATGATAATTACACTTTAAAAATGCAGGCTTAAAGTCCTTTTCTGTTAATTATAGACTTTTTCTGAGCTACCACATACAGAAGAGAGTAAGTTAATTGGTTCTACAGGCAATACTGTGCAAGGTTAAACAAGTATTTGATCTCACATAAAAGACTAAACAAGGATTTAAAAGTAATTTAATTGTTACAACTACTTTGAACACAGAGTATGATAGAGCTACTTTAATATTATAACTGCTAAGCAACATAAAAAATGTATTATGTGATTGTGTCTATTTTAAATTACCTTGAATGGAGTTTTTCTTATTAGAGCATAAATGCTGTCACTCTCAGCCTCTTGCTTACTCAAGAGGAGCAAAAGACCTCTTTTTAGATAAAATATGAAATAAAAAGTCATTAAAATATCTTACTTGGGACCAAGTAGAGAATTCCAGACACATAGGAATGCAAGTGAAAAACAACCCTCTGATGTGTACATCTTTGAAAGCAAACAGATCAGTATCACAGCATCATAGAAGAATTCAAGTTAGTAATGACCTCAGGTGACCAAGTCCACTCTCCTGCTCAAAGCAGGACCAGCTGTAAGGTCAGACCATTTTGAGGTACTAGAGCACCTGAGAGTCGTGCAGAAGTAGAGAGAAAAGAAGAAAAGGTCAGAGGTAATTTTGAAGAATGACTGCATGTACCATGGTTTAATTTCCTTAAGCAAATCACCTAATAGTGACTGAGGAGAATTCTCGTTCTAGATAAAGTAGAAAATAAGAATCTTAGATGACAATATGATTCTTATTTGGAAGGAAGGGTTAATGCATGAATTGAAGAGTATAGTAGTGAGAAAGAAAAGGTTGAAAGAAGAAATTAACAGGGGATTGAAAGTAAAATGTTATGTCTCAGCAAAGATCAATATCTGCCTATTGTTACATTCTCAAAGAGCTCAGATGACATTCATAGATTTGCCAAGTGAAGGGTAGCGCTCATCAGACTGTTTTTGTAGCAGTTATGTCCGTGGCCTGCTGAGAAGACCATAAGTACCACAGAACTGCCAACAGGTGACTAAAAAGGGGATTAGTTGCAATTAGCACAGAAGTGTCAGGCATCCACCTCTCTAATAGACAAAGGTATGGGAAACATATGCACCTCTAAATATTCAAAGGAAATTTTAGGCTGCTGTATTCAATCTGTGTAGTTGATCTAAGTACATTTCAAATAATATCCTAACAAAACAAATGTACCTAAAATGGTATTAAAAGACCAAATCAGGTCAACTTTCCAAATCATAATCAAATAGACATATATTTAGAAGGACATTTTAAGAAGAGGAACAGAATACACAAATTTGTACCACTAAAACCACAATATTTCCTGTCACTTAAAATTCTAGAGCACTTCTCTTCTTGAGGAGTTCCTAATAAAAACTTTTCAGAATATCAGACTCAGTACATCAACATTCCGGATTCCTAAACTTTAGAGTTTATTTCTCAGTCTAACAGGGGCAATATGCTTTACCAAACTAGACTTAACCCAGGCCCTCTAAGCATGGTGGTTAAGCCAGAGTGTAATGTACAAATAAACAAGTACGTCTGTGAGGTCAGACACATGCACAGAAAGTTTACTTAATAAGGAATCTAGACCATCTGTTATATTTCAAGTAATTTGTTTTTTTGACCATGCATTAAAATCTGAGAGGAACTCAAAGAAATATTTATAAAACTGAGAGAGGTTA